TGCACTTTTCCATAACCACCCTGTAAATACAGCTCAAGCACGACTACATGCTTTACATACAAATTAACTGCTTACATAAAACGTTGTAGCATTCGCAATCGATTGCCGCAATCACTTCAGTGGCCATAATTGCTTACGAAATCTCCAAAGTATTACAACGTTGATTAGAAACATAAACTAAATGAATATCAGCAATTTTCAAAATCCAATTCAATACAACCAATTTAATAGTCAACTGAGAAAAAGGCGAGGCAAGAAGTGAGCGAGTGCGATCCGACCGGTGCCATTTGTTCTTTGCATAAACCATTAAACCGTATGATTGTGTGGTTGTATGTGTGTATGTATGTATGTATGTGTAGATACGCCTGCACATAGAAAATATTCTGGTGTTCGTCCTCTGCTTGTGGGATTGCATTGAAAGGCATCAAATCGAACTGAAATGTGCTTGGCATCGAGGACTGGAACGAGCGAAATTGCAGCAAGTAGCGAGTAAACGAAGTGAGTGGGCAAAGGCGAGATCAAAAACAATTCCCATAACTCAATTCTAATGCAAAACGCACAAGCAGGCCAACAAGCTCTTTCTGCTGCGCTGTGTGAAGGTAATAACGGTAGTACGAAGTAAATTTGCAAAGAGACATTGTGCCAACATTGTACTGGTTATAGTGGCGAGAAAAATTTGCTTAAGACCCCATATTTAGACACATTCATTCACATTTGCACTGCGACTCAGGGTCTATTGTGCCCTCTCCTCTATCACATGCTTTCCCAAAGAAGATTATTAGTTGTTTTAGTATTTTTTATATAAGGTAAGGCAAAAAAATAGAATAAATCATATCTTAATATATTCTCGGCGCAATTTGATTGATCTTTTCTTCCAAAATATATTTAAAATCTGCACTACAACAGCGCCGTGTCAATATACTTGTATATTCTCAAAAACACTAAAACTTTAGAATTATCAGCAAAATTTCTTATAAATTATCAGAGACTAATCTTAATTTCACATTTATGCAAATATATCGAATTCATCAAAATATCTATTAATATACAATCTATCGAATATCTCGATTATAACAACTCGAACACCTTTTTTTAATTTATCCCCATCTTCTTCTATATTTTCTATATTTTTAGATGTTTTGAGGTTATTTAGTCATCCTTGTAGCATTGCTCTTAGCTGTTACTATGATCTCCCTTCCACCATAATTAAATATACGTGTTCTCCACGGACTCGAATTTATATCTGATCAAATAAGTACCTCCGTTCTATTTTGAAAACTGTTTCAAAAAAATGTTTCATGTCAATACAAAAATAATTTTAACAGCCACGCTTAGCCACGGTTAGCAAATATTCTTACTATTTAATTTCTCCATTTTATCATCCCTTGTACTCGGACTCATTAGATAATTATGACAAATCCATCTACAGAATGGGTCTCAGTTCTTATGAATATGAAAAGTCCTGCAAGTTTTAAGCCACCTCAAGACAGATAAAAGAATTTAATGAAGGCTATGCTTCCAGCCGGAAATGCTATCAATGGTTTGACGCAAGATCCTCATGGTGACAGCCTCGCAATCTACTCACCTAGTTTCTAGTGTTTAGTTCGCTTTTACTTTTTATAAACAAGGTATATTAGTATGGCGCTAAGTTTGTAACAGCCAGAAGGAAACGTCGGAGACCATATAAAATATGGCTTTGAAATTTTGCACACATACCAAGATCCGCATCAAGCTCTTGTATGGAAGACTTTTTATCTGAAAAAATATCTTCACAAATTTGCATGGATTATTATTCAAAGCATTACTACAATATCTGAACAAATACTGCAGATCGAACGACTATAGCATATAGCTGCGAAACAAATTGAACGATAAGAAACAAGTTCTTGTAGGGAAAACTTTTTTTATTTGTGAAGGGTATTCTAGCTTCGGTGCAATCGAAGTTTACATTTTATCTTGTTTAAGCAAGCTTTGCATAAAACTCTTAGTGCTTCAGCAGAATGACAGTGAATTTCAAAAATAAAAAGAAACCACGCACACAGGCTGGCAAATATGCAGTCAATATTTGCGCAAACAAACACTTTTCGAATCGACTGTTACGTAATTAAATTCAATAGTTTTAACTTCTAAATCCGCTGATTTGCAGCAAAGACAGCTACCACACTGCAACCGCAGGAAAAACTCGCACATTGAATGAATTGAATACAATTGAATTTGTAGACAAATCTCGATTTCCAGGCGCAAGTGTTAGTAAATATTGTGCGCCACTAGCACGCTAACACAACTATAAAGTTAGACACATACATAAAATGGCATTAGAATGCATGCAACACGCGACGTGTAAGCACGCCGCAGCTGTGAAAACCACATGCATTCACATATACAATATACATATATATATAAGTGTGTGTGTGTGTGTGCGAGAGAGAATATTTGCGAAAGCTTAGAGACACACAAACAAATGACGGACAAGCGGCCATAATCCCTTTACAATCTGCAGCAAATTCTGGTCCATTAACCGAACGTGCTTAAATGCCAAACATTGACATTTTGGTCAACCGAACGTGCAAGCGCACAGACACCAACCCAAACGAAGCATTCTTACAAATACAACCATTTAAGGGCACTCAACACACGGTGGCGCTGGCGTCGGTGCAAATCGCTCGGTTTAGAATTTGCATACGCAAATACCCTAACAAAAACACAGTGCGGCCCTAAACCAATACAAGCGGGCACACACGTACACATGCAATACTCACATCCATGCAACAGTCACACATATACCAATACATGAGCGCTTCTGAGTACATTGTTGGCTCCGGGTGTTTGTGAGGCGCAACCTGAAAGCTATTTAAAACGCTAAGTCACCAGCGCAAGCACATACTTAACTCATGCAACACACATATACCAAAACGCATTTTCACACACACACACACACACAAGTAGGTTGACACAAAATCAGTAAAAATGATTGGATCGTCCCGTGCAGCATATACGAGTTCATATATTGCCACATGTGCAACAGCAGCAACAAGATTTGCTTGTATGAGTTTATATATTGCCACATGTGCAACAACAGCAACAACAAATTTTGCCTATTGAATTGCCACTGTTGTTGCAACATGAAACGAATGAAGTGGCAGCACATAAATATGACGTGACGTGTTGGTGTTGCAACAACTGCAATTCACCTGCTAAGCGCTTACAATCGGCAAGTCAGCGGGTCTCATGCCGTGTCCACATATTGGCAGCGCTTAAATGCGCCTATGTAAGCCAACAACCAACAGCGCGGCGGTGCATGCAACATGCCAGAGATGAGAGCCATGTTGCCACTTGATTACGCACGCGACTGACAAGTAAGTATGCATGCCACATTGGCGAGTACTACATAATTTTATGTAGCCACAAACACACGCACACACACAAAGCCACCCGTACTTGCCACATAAACATACCACTCCAACTTTGCGCCATTCACTAGGCCTGCGGTGCTTTCGACGCTAAGCAATCGCAATTGGAGTGCCGCTCTACACAGAATAGGGTTACATGCCGTTACCAATGTTGCCACATGCAAATAAACACACATGCACAAATATTCTTACTATATTGCTACGTGTTCCATGGGTGTGTGTGTGTGTATGCCCACTTGTAGTCATAAAAATTGCAGCGGGGTTAATTATACACATTCGCTACACTCAGATGTCCTGCAAATCATTAATTATTAATGATGCTTGTCTGTGGGATTGAGTGACCTATAAACTTTGTGTTCGTGCAGCGCTCGTATTGCTTTGAATTTTTGCACTTCTCGAAAGCAATTAGGTGAGTGCACACTAAAATTATTGAAAATTATTTACCAACTCATTAGTGCTTTCGTAAAATTGCTAGCAATTTTTGCAGCGCACAGCTCTTCGTTTTCTTTATTGACGCGACAAGCTATCGATTTTAGACGAGTGCAAAGTTGTGCGCCAAAAGTAGAGACCTCTCTGCTTCTCTGCCGCCTAGTAAAGTTTTAGCGCTATAGCATTTAAATCCAATCGGTTGGAGAATCTAGCCATTATTTTTTAAGTATTTTAACTCACAGAAGCTCCATAACATGGACGTTGTGGAAATTCATAACTAGATTTATTTATAGTATCCCATTCATAATAGTCTATGTGTGATTCCTGCCACTAACATAACCTAAAAAGACAGTTATATTTTCACCTTTTCTGGCTCTGAATAGCAGCTGATTTTAATATTGCTTTTTCTAACGTGTATATAGCTCTATCTCTCTTACCTAACTCTTTTCTATTTTCTATCACTCCCTCTCTAATAATACTATATATATCACTCTCTCTCTAACTCACTTTGATTTACTTTAAATGTCTGACTTTAACACAAAATTTACGGAATTTCGTTTGACGGAACTTCACCTTTACAATGAAAGGTCTCGAAAACATTTTCATCGACTTCAACATTTTTGCATCGTAAATTAATAATGTTTTCCAAAGAATTTAAACGCACTGTACTTTTTTCTAAATACAAGAAATGCAAGTTGTTCTCCGTTTCTGATTCGTTATCTCAATCGCACCTGGGTAGTGTAAAATAATATTCCTAAGTGTTAACTTCGGGTTGATATGAACTGTTGTCAAGAATATGAAAACAGGGAAAACAAGAATAGAGGGTCTCCATTTATTGTAGACATTTATAACAGGGTAATGGAATTAAAGCACGTTATTTAGTTATGTCGACTGTTTCTCAGGCTCACATGTGAGTTTGGGTGAACATAAAACTTCTTCTTCTTCTCTTAAACTTCTTCTAAGTACCAAACGTCATCCATAATACTTTTCAAATATATAATAACATAAACCATTTAGAGGAAATTAAATATTCCGGATAATTAAATAACGGGTGCTTCCATACATTTACATTGATTATTTCGAGAATATAATATTTCATTGGGACTATTTTAAAATCAAAAATTTACGAATTAATTTATTTTAAAGTTGCGTTTTTCTTAGTTGTCAACCATCTGTCAGTCAACAGGAAGCAATATCCGGCACGTGCAGTCAACGTGAAACGAATTCAACACTGGAAGCCTGTTGCTACAATAAAACTCACTTTGGATGTGGGTGTATCTAAATTAAAAATCAAAATCAGCTAATAGGCAAGAGCTTCCAAGAAAACTGTATTTCATTTCTTTAAATATTTTAAATAGGCTGGTCAATGTTTTACACTGCCACTTGTGTTTCGCATAAATAAACCATTGGTAGGCTATAAGCTGAAGATAGGTTATAGAATTTACATCTGACCGAGGTGCTAAGTTTACTTATTGGTTGTCCCAAGACTGGATTTTTTAAACACCAACTACTAAGTGAATACTAAAATGCTCAAAACTCCAAAATGAGGAATACTTGACTTTGTTTTAAGTTTTGTTTATAAAATATGGATGAGGAAAGCCTGAGGAAGAAGAAGTCGAGAAATTCATATTTTCATATTACCATAAATAATATAATGTGATACAATAAATCTATTTGCATATATGAACCAAACTTCCACTTAAAAACACCTGTCAAACCCTTACTCAGGTATATTGTGTAACAAATATATCAGTCGAGTGATCGTAAGAATCAACTTATTGAAGGAAACTTTTGGAGAGCGCATTATATCGCTTCATAGACCTGTAGCGTGGCCTGCAAGATTGTCTGATTCAACAATGCTGAATTGCTTTTGTGGTGTTATGAGAAGTCGCTTGGATATGCAGATAACCCCAACACAATTGACGCCTTGGAAACGAATATTCGGTGTGTTATTGCTGCAAAAAGTGGTCGAAAATTGGGTCCTTTGGCTTTAATTACTTGAAATTACTTTTAAAACATAATGACAAACCCTTTTCTTTATAAAAAAAAACTAACTTATATGCGTTTTATTTCTTCTTAAAATACAGTCTCTCCGAAACAAAATGGCAGTGAGGAAGAGTTTTCTCTTCCAAATTATTTTGAATCCAAAAAATATATTATTGAAATAGATAAAATTAGATTTTTAGCAAAATGGCGGTAGCCCGAAAAATGTTGTTTTTGTAAATAAATTTGCACCTCAGAGTGGTTTAAGAAACTGAAATTTTTATACAAGCATATATTCCTGCATATATGCCTGCCAAATATAATATATTTAAGTAGGTTGTGTGAAATTTCAAGTCAACTGGTTCAGACGCTTTGTCAAGTTTTACTTACAGACACTTAAAATAACGCTTCGAGAAAAGCGCGTTTAAAGTTTTGAAAGCAAATTACACTACGATAAAGAAGCTCACAAGTAAGTTCATAACTTCAAAACCGTGTGCTGGATCTAATTCGAATTTTCGGGGAAACATTCTCATAAAAATCAACATATGATATACGAGTAAAATAAAAAAGGTCGACTTTTTGAAATGCACAAATGGATATAACCATATATACAACGCGATTACTTAAGACTACTCGCATGCTGTACCGTTATTAAAAACATACCAACATAGCATCGATGCCCTCAAAACATATGTCTTCGCTGTACATTTGTACAAATTAATTAAACAATTAACAGAAAACTAATTAAAGCGACAGCATGCGAATATGTCCAAATATGTGTGCTGGTGTGTGTGCGTCGATGAGAGTGTTAACGACAACTGATTCAATTATCCCGAAAACATGTGTCTACAAAAGCCAAAGCATGCCAACACCCACACAAACATGCATACGTATAAGAGTTTACCTACACCGAATTACATAATCAGATTAACAAAACCTTTATCCACCTTAGAGCTCACATCCACACACATACACACACACACCCACACATACATAACTGACTGCTTATACTTATGTGTGTTTATGCAAAAACCAAACAAGCTCTTGACTCATCGGGCACTAACTCACTGATTTAATCATCGAATAGTTTAGGGAAACAAACGCGCACACACACCTCTCATATACAACAACAAATACAAAAACATATTCGCCCGCCCATAGCCAATCACTAACGATCACATAAACAAACTAACCAGCAGCAACAACTATAAGTATCATTAAGGCAGCATCAACAGCATAACAACAATAATAATAACAGCAATAGCAATAGCAACAACAACAACAACAACAAATACCAAGCATGAAGCATCGATAGATAATCACGACGCCTCAACAACACTATCAGCGGCAATTAATTCAAATGAATGTGAAGGCATGACGAAAGGGATAACAAAGCGCCAACGCTGGCCGACGGAAGGATGGCTGGCTAGTTGAAACATATGTACATGCAAGTATATTATGTATGTATATGTGTGCAGCTGTTGCAAATGGTTTAATTTAGAAGTTTGCTCATCAACATGTGTTTATATGTGTGTGTGTGTGGCTGTGTGCTTCGGTTGTTCATGGAGTTGGGACAACAAATCAACCTCGACAATGCACGCACACATACAAACAAATTCATACACACACACGCGCTCACAACTAATATCTATATGCTTAAGAACTCGTGTTGGCATGCTGAGGGGTTGAAGAGATGGGCGCAGGTGTGCTGATGGTGGCGGTAGGTGCGTTGATTTGGGGATACAAATAATTATGTGTTTAACAACAATAACATCAAATGCCACTAAGTGATTAATAATGGCGACATACACATACGCACGTGCACATAAGCGTACAACGACAACAACATTATAATCTTTATTGACGGCAAGTGCAGCGGTAACGGTAACAACGACTAACTGATTAATATCACCGCACACAACGGCAATTTCACGCCCATTCATTAAGCCAAGTTTTCGGAATTGATTGATAGCGGTGTAAATGGCGCACCGGCACACATGCCACACACACCGAGATTTATTTACTCCCACACACACACACACACAATCAAGGTTGGCCTTATAAATAATGTGCATAAGATATTGCCAAATTAGGCGCTTTGCTCATTTGTAACGGATGCCGACATTCGATATGCAAATTTACCGTTTATGTCGTCAAAGACACACAAATTCTTAGCCAGCGTTGCCATATGTCATATGTATGCTGAGTACAAATAGCACAAAACTTGCACGCATATAGGCCTGGCATTCTATAGGCCAGCAAATACCTGTGTTTAAATTTGCATTTATTTGACTCAGAGCGGAGATTTACGGTTTGCACAGTTTGCTGAGGACGACAGTGATTAGTAGCGCCTAAATAGCAAACACACATACTCGTATACATATATACATTTATAAATGAGACCGAGATAGCTATAAGAAAACGTTTTGACTTTCATCTACACACAGGATCGCACTCACTTGTAATGCCTTAGCCATCCATTTATAGATTAATTTGTAATTTTGTGTGTGCTTCTAGGCGCACAAGCAGGCATAAGTGTTTATTATTATTTATTTTGATGATTCTTAATTTCTTAGAATTGAAAATTTCCCACTATACATTATACCAGCTGGCTATCACGCCATACGTAGACCTACTGGTTTTTTGTAATTCCACATGCAGGTTCAGTTTAGAACGAGCTATGTGCAACCGTGTAGACCACATTGATCTCGATCTTCTTTCATTGCGAACAGAGCTAATTATATGTTTAATGCCTGAAACCCATTTCAGTATGGAACTTTAATTCAAACTTAACCGCGCACCATCATATGCTGAGTCCCCCTGTACCACCGTCAATTATTACGTCAAGGATGGTGGAGCAATGCTTATAGCTTTGCAACAATCTGATTGCATTCAGTGGCAAGTTATATTTAATTGACAACACATCTGTTTCTCTCGGATTCCGCCCGGTGCATTGTTTGATACCAAAATCTTGCCTTATGCTTTAGGAAATTCAGTATGTGTTTGTTTGGTCCGGGTTCTAGTAGTCCGTTTAATATAAGAGTTCTCTTCTACGCTACTCTTCTTGCGCTCTTTGAAGTTTTATGAATTTAACGGCTATTTCGCACACCGCATTCTACTCATATTTTGTTTCAACGGTATACATCCGAATACACTCTTTCAGTATCACCTTTCTTGTTGGTGTTGTGGACAGTGGAGTAACGTATGCTCTTCGTTCTTAATTGTCTGAACACTCAGCCATTGCTCATTTGTCGGAACCGTCGTTATCGGTTCACTTTAGCATATAGCTGCCATACAAAATTTGTTTTATTAAAACATCGGTAAACCTAAACAAAATCCATATGTTTCCGAAAATATAAATTAAACTAAACCACTATTTAGGTGCTTTAAACTAGTATGAATTAGTGGTTTTTTTGTCCGAAAAGCGACACTTGAGGTACCGTAGAACAAACAATAAAAAGTACCAGTCGCTTGTATAGAAGAAATACAGGTGGCTGACCACATGGACTACTAGCTCATACTAGTTTCAAGGTAGTTTATAACTGGTTAATTTCTCTGCAGTGAGTCTATGATTATTTAGACATCAAAGCTTAATGCCTACTTCAATATGTATATGTATTAGACTATGTATATTGATATACATATATAAATACGTTAATTGTTTGTTTTTCAGTTGCTCTCACAGTGCAGCCTTCTTCCGCGACCGATGGCCGCTGCAAACGGGCAAATAGACAAACAAATGCATTTTTGCATAACCGCATTTTAGACCGATTTGCATTTGCATAGCACCACTAACAACAGCAACAACAACAAAGTAAATATCATATATGCAAATCACTTTAACCCTGCGTTGCGAGTGTTTGCCGCTTGATTTTATGCTAAATTAGTTTGGCCAATTCAATTCAATACTTAATTACATGTATTCCGATAAATGGTCATTCATCTAATTATATGATTGCATTGTGGCATGTTTTGTATCTATTTAATTAAATTGCATCCATTTACATGGTGTATGTATGTATGTATGTGTGTCTTATAATTTATATGTGTGTGTATATGTGCACTGCACAAGGTCTGCTAACTGCACTGCTTGGCTGTCTTCCCTCAGGACCTGCTTTAATTTGCATTAATCAATTGATGAATGTCCATGTATATTTATGTTCACTAAACCCAAAATAGCAGGAAAAATCGTTGACTTCCTGTATGTGTCTTTGATCGATATAGGAGTACTTGTGTGGTACAAGACGTTCGTCTTGCAAATAGCCATTAATATAATTAGTTGCAACTTATTGCCGACATTCGTTGCTACAAATAGACATATGTACGAAGGTGGGCCACTATGTGCCGGAAATGAGAAAAAGTTGCTTGTCAAATTGTGTTTGTTCAGACGAAAATTTCAAAAGACTGTTTGGCTTAAATCGGCATCTCGCTGTTTCAACATATGAGTCCAAACTTGTGAAGACTGTTTATTCGTCCGTATTAATCATATCCTTTGATGCGATCAAGTTTTATATGACTTTACATTACAATATATACATTGTATATAGGCTACGAAAGCCTCTCTCTTGTCTGCATAGAATTTGAATATAGGTTTGAAAAATTTTATTTTAGAAATAAATTGGACTAACCTTCTATTTCTGTTAAAGCTTTTTCGAGTTGAAAATTCTTAGCACTGTATATGAATATAAATATATTTATTATTTGTATGTATGTGTCTACTTTATACAAAGTTATACCCGTATGTAGGTTCTTATAGTACTTTTTAAGATTAACATACGTATAAATAGTGTGTGATAGTGCCGAGAGCATTCGGAAGGCGTAAAGCGTGATCCAAAATGATTTAATTATGTAACAACAATATTCCTTATGATGTTTGAAAATCAAAGCCAATACAACAATAATTTTAACATAATTTATATACAATTGATTTAGAGTCGCTTTTCACTCTTTAAGGAGGCGTTTCAACGCTTGAATTTCCTCCTGTATTTATAATATCGATTAAAACTGCTTTGGAAATTGCCCCTAAGATGTTTAACCTTCA